AAATAAAAGGTTTCTCTAGTCAAGGGTAAGTGATCAACCTCGAACCATCCGAAAACAGTGAGCAGGGTTTTTAAAATATTTAAATTCTTGTCTATTTGATTATTTTGGGTTTCAAGCAACAAACAGTCAGCTGAGCAAAATAAATGATTACGAAATGCATTCGGTTAGATCTGCTATCATTATAAGCTATCGGTCTTTGTTCAATAAGTAATCTATCTGAGGCGTTTCAGAAGCTAGTGAAAGTATAAAATGCAACCAGATAAACAAATAATAGTGACATTTTGAAACGATTTGTTCCGGAGTTATAGCAGGTCCCAAGCCTCGAGGAGGGTTGGGTATGGGGTAAGTGAACTTATCTCCTACAAATCAACTTGCTAAAAAACGCTAACCAGAAAATTAATTCAAATAGTTTTAGCTCTTCCTTGTAGGCTGGTAGGTCTCCATTTACGGAAATCATGACGCTTCATGATGGAAGCTGTTTTTCTTTGGAAGTCACGAGCCCGATTCCCATTCTGACAAACGGTGCAACTATTAATATAGGTAAACCTAATGTTCGCACGTCGCTAACAATGAAGGTAATAAAGATCAATTCTACGAGAGGTTTCAGTCGATCGATGAGAAATACACTGCGAAGGACTTGACCACTTTGATGGGAGACCTAAATACCGAGGTTCGTAAACATAACATTGGATTTGAAGACATCATGGAACGACATGGACTGCGAGAAAGGAATGAAGAAGATGAGAGATCTGTAAACCCATGCGCCTTCAAAAAACTTGTCATAAGTTCCACAATATCTCCATATCGGTTTCACCGAAATACACTAAACAAAAGAAAATCGACCACCTCCGCATCAGTAAAAAGTTCAGAAAGACCATCGAGGAATTGAGAACCAAAGGAGGTGCTGATACAGCTACAGTTCATCATCTGCTGGTGGCCAGAATTAAAATAAGGCTAACGAAGCACTGGACACCGAAGAAAGAGCATTACAAAAGTCTAATCCAGATCTACATCAAGATATTGACAAACTCGACTATTTCACCATAACCCTTGTAGTGATTCAACTTTTATGAAGAGAAAGCAACTGGTTTAATAAAAATATTTATCATTACAACCGACTGTAACAGTGACCGTTTTCCTAAACCTCATCGTTTAATACTATTCAGTACGAGCAAACTTTCAGTTTGTGATGCCGCCATTTCGGCTCCACTTTTCTAACACGACTTTGGTACCTCAGTACCATGAAGTATATAAATATATACATCAAATTTGTTAATTGCCATATTAACTGAACGTTAAATACACAACTTTGATTCAGGGATGGAGAAATTTTGTTGCTCAAGTAGATGGTTATGGCCAAGTTTCGTTCTCTGAGCTGGATGTTATAGTTGTGTATATTTTGTCGTTCTTCTGAACAACATCATCCGTAGAAAAAATCGGGTAGACTTCTATCTGAAATTTGTGCTGGACAATGAAAACCTCACAACCGAAACATTCAGCTCAAAGAATGAAACATTATGTTCATTCGAACACGAAAAGCGGTACCGAAACATGAACTATTTCCAGGCAATAATGGTTAGTGACCTTCACTGGAGTGGTTTCGCCATCGTTCGAATGGCTAAGTTGTTTATTCTAGGAGCTATCCATTATCCTATCCATTTAATACGTGATATCGAGTTATCTTAGATAAAGTCATTAGTTTGCAAAATATATTTATGACTTAGAATTAAAAGCATGAACTATTAATGCATTTATTTTATACTATGAAAATATATCACCAATTCTATTAATCTGTCTAACATTATCTGGATTACTTCAAGAATCTTTAAATATAATTTAGAATCTAGAAAAGTATTTTTTCATAAAAAAATGAATCGAAATCTTTCTGTTATTTTTGAGTTCATTTACGTGCTTTTTTAATAAATGCACATCGATAACTTCCCATCTTTCAGCATGATTTTATCTTTTGTAAGAAAGTTGAAATTTTTCTTTCTTCTAACGGAAAACCTATCGTATCTCAAAGTAGAGTTTCTTCATTTCACTAATTTACTTAATGAGTATAATGATTTTAAATACTTCAAGTTCTCTGTGGTAAATATAAGATTTCTAGGAAACTGTTGTCGTCTCTTTCATGAATTCAATCAGTCAGTCAGATGCAACGTAGAACTTCGTACGTAAGTACATCAGTTCATGTCACCATACCACATCAGCACAGAGATGTAATTGTCAATTCAAATCCAATAGTAGAAGGGGTACAAAAGGTATTAGGAGTAATCGGAGAGGTTAGGATTAGAAGATATTATTCAAGAAGTATGATTTAATGAGAAAAGTTTAGAAAGTCAAAATTAGACATGTTGACGAATCCAGAAGGTTAGGGTTTCATAGAACACAATGAGTAGATACACCTGCGCCATTGCGAACGATTTTGAGCCATGTCATTCAATGTCTCTAACCATCGATTACTATCATCTCGTGGACCCCAACCAGGTAGTCGACACCTACCAACATGGCTCAGTCCACTTGTCAATGACTTCATGGATATGTGCCATGTTTTGGTTAGGCCGCCTCTAGCTTTCTTCCAACTTATTCCTACACCACATAACATAGCTCATCGAGGCAGTCGGTGGTTAGGCATACGCCACACATGTCCCAACCACGTCAACTGATGAAGTTTCATTACTTCATCTATTGATCTGCCATTCTAACCTAGCACCCGATTCCTTATAACAGCGTTGCTCACTCGGGTGTCCCACGACATACGAGCAATGCTTCGAAGACACCTATGATCGAAAACCAGTAACCGACGAATATCTTCTACTCTAACTGGCCATGTTTCACAGCCATAAAGTAAGACGGAGCGAACCACTGCACAGTACACTTGTCCTTTAGTCAGCAAACGGATATCTCGCCTTCGCCATAAGTGACGCAGGTTGGCAAAAGCCGATCGAGCCTTCTGTATCCGAGCTGAGATTTCGTCAGTCACCAGGCCATCGGCACTGATGAGACTCCCAAGATAAGTGAAGCGGTCTACACGTTCGACTACTTCACTCCCTATCACTAGTTCAGGTGCCGATGAAACCCAGTCTTGAAGCAACACTTTGCATTTCGAGGGGGAAACCGCATCCCGAACATGCTTGCATTGTTGCTTAGGATGGTCAGTTATACTTGACTGCTTTTAGAAAATATTTGATACGAAGCATTGATGATATAAATGATTGGAACGAATTAAAAAAATGACCACTCGATAACTCCCTCCCAATAGTGAGTGACGTATTTTTATAGAAGTATTGTAGTGCCTGCACATATATTCCAGTTCGCTTACATTTAATTTGGTCGAGCCCTTTCGATTAATTTATTTAACCAAGCCATTTGTATTGCAACAATTTATATGTAATTTATATGTAATCCTAGGAGTTGGCTCAACAGCCTTTTCCAATTCACGTCACTTCATTCGTTTTATTCACCGTTTCTCCGCTTCGCTTTGTGGTGTGTTACAAATAAACGTATTCAACACTTTGTGTTCACCTTCTGATTCATAAACCGTCAGACGCTAATTAGTAACGATTGTCTAGACGAGCTAATCGTTGAGCTTTAGAACACGCAGTAAAATGACACACTACAGTAGTATGAAGAGAATTCTTAAACCAAAGTTAACAGTTGATCGATGAGAAATACACAGCAAAGGACTTGACCATTTTGATGAGAGATCTAAATACCAAGATTTGTAAAGAGAACATCGGATATGAAGACAAACATCTTTTGCATATCATAATATATACTATGGAATAATCTTTGAAATATCCATTTTAAAAATTCTGCCATAATGAATTCCCAGTCTAATATATATTTTTCAAGAGTATATATAACTGGACGGTTAAACCCCTAAAAAAAACATAACTTTTTATTTTCAATAAATTAAGAATAACACTATTTAGGCGAATATGTAGAATTTATTGCATGACATGGTGTTTCTTCAACTATATATACAAACTACTTTCCTTGTTTTAAGAAACACACACACACACAAAACAAACACTTCATTGAATTTGAATGAAAATATCATTAACAACCAAATAGAAAATAACATTAATAATAATAATAATAATAATAATAATAATATTACATAACAAGAAGTTACAATACAATACCTATCACATTCAAATCGTTGTCACGGCGCTTTTTGTACATACGCTAAAAAAAGTATTAAGTAGTATACAACAAAAGCCAATAAATATTGTAAATATCAAATGACGAAAACGGAATTGTGGCTTGTTAGTAGTTGAAAAAAGACAATGAGAACGAAATTATTACTAACCCCTCTTAAAATAGATTTAAATTTATGAGAGAAGATTAGCAATACACAATGTTTACAAAAAAAAACAAACATTTATAATCATTTACGATAAATCTGCTGTTTTTTTTTTTAAGAAAATTCGTTGAAAATAAAATCAACATCTATTTTTTTTACATTTTATGAAGATTTTTATAATAAAAATTTAATTCATTTATAACAATGAGATTGATCAATTGAAAAAAACAACCAAATTTAGGTAATTTTTCTTAATGTACAAATATTGATCATTGACATTTTGTTTAAAATTATTCATAATCCAGTAAACATGTTTAAACAAACACGAACAAAGATTGTACGGCATAATGTCTGGTTCATTTAAGCATTACAATATATATTTGTCAACAATATGTGTATAGGTAAGTGATTTGGGTTTAAAATTTAATCGAAATGAAACTTTCAAAATAAACATTCCAAATTAAGTGTACACCAACTTCAAAGATTTAAACAAATAATTGATCATTTCATACTAGTGAAATTTATAAAAACAAGTAAATTTTTATAACACAAACATTCTTGAACTAAAACAAAAATATTGTCAAAAAAACAAAGAAAATCAATCGATTTTTCATTCAAATCAAACCCATAAGAAACATGAATATAAAGAAAAAACGGCGTTGATTATTGTCGTCTATTGCGATTATTCCATTCAACTGGAATCGAGTTCATCATAGTCATTGCTTGCTAAATTAGGCTTAATAGATTCTTTGATATTAATTGGTTTTACTCTCCAAATATCACGTGCATATTCACGTACTGTACGATCAGAGGAGAATTTTCCAGCTGCAGCGATATTCATGAGAACCATTTTAGACCATCTTACTTCATCCTAACAACAATAAACATGGAAATAAGAATCTGAATGAGATTTCATATCATTTCAGAAATGTTTAGTTAGATATGAATGTTCTGTTTTTTTTTTAAATTTTTTTCAACGTGTAACATTAGGAGTGCTTGAATTAAACAAGATTAATTTTTTATACATAAACATGTCAGTTACGCTTTTTACTATGCTCTACTTTGAATTCATTACCACACATAAGTTTTAAATCTTATTCAGCATATACAGACATACAGACAGATACAACACAGAACTTCGTACGTACGTACATCAGTTCAGGTTGCCATACCACATTAGCACAGAGACGCAACTGTCAGTTCAAATCCAATAGTGATAGCGATAGTAGAAGTATTAGCAGTAATGGAGAAGATTAGGGTATAATTCAGTGAGATAAAGTTAGAAAGAGAAAGATAGAGATGATGAGGAATTCAGAAGGTTAGAATTTGAGAGAACACAAAGAGTGGATGCACCTGCGCCATTGCAAACGATTTTGAGCCATGTCGTTCAAGGTCTCTAACCATTGGTGACTTTCGTCGGTTACCATTGTCTGTTCTTTGAGCCACGACACCATAACGTCCACTCACCTGTCTGTCCTTTTCAGTTAGTCTACCAACTTGAGCATTAAAGTCACCAGCTATTATTACTACATCAGAGCGCGTAACTTTTTGGAGGAGGTCCGAAAGCTTTCGGTAAAACTCATCTTTCGCATCGTCTGGACTGCAGTCAGTGGGGGCATAGGCAGATACGATGAAGAGGTAACGGCGAGTGTCCCTATCTTTCCGAGTCCTTACTGTCTCGTTTAGTCGGACGGCGCACAAGCGACTATCTACAGGGATCCAGTCTAGAAGAGCTACTTCTGCCCTGGGACTCAATGCTATACCTTCACCAGCGAGACTCCGGTAAGCAGCATCAGGGCTACCGGATACAGGAGGAGTAAATCGAGTTGCTTCTTTATCTTGACGTAATGAGGTCAAGTGAATGACGCTACTCGGATCCTCTATGCGCGTTGCGGAGCCTCGGCATACATCGATGGCACGAGATTCTAAAGTCCTAGCTAAGGAAGCCTGTTACCTTATTGGACACAATGTCCGGACATTAAATGCCCCAACATGTAATTTAGAACGAGGTTTCAAGAGACCAGGAATAACGTTTCGTGAACTCGCATCGTTTGCATTAGCTGTGCACTGTGATAAGTGAATGTGAGAAGAGTTAGTCGTGGAGATAAGAGAGATATTAAAGGGAGTAGGAAAGATTTGATTGCAACCGATTTGATCTCGTGCACTGTTATGGGTATTCAGCATATTGAAACAGATCATTCTGCTGAAAACTATATTTATAGATATAAAGTTTTTTACGGAGAAAAAAACGCAGTTTAAGAAATTAGAAAGTTTATAGGCAATGATACCAAGGTTAAACTTGATAATATTAAATAAATGAAGAAGTAATGTATATCAAAGACTATTATTATTGTTATTATTAGCTTCGGAATTAAGGAAAAATTATCATCACCAACTTATCTAGTAACAGATTTCCTACCTTGTATGCTGATTCCACTTCAGCTTGTGCACGCATATAATCAGCATAATCTGCACAGACCATAAATTTATCTTCTGTTACTAATTTATTATATAAATCTTTAAATAGATCTGGTTCATTTGGACAAAAATAACCATCACGTATTTGATCTAAGCATAGACGAAGTTCTGGATTGTTAGATACATATTTCATTGGATTATATCTGAAAAAAATGTTTGTGAAAATTGATAAAAAAAATTGATCACTCTAATATTATGATGCGAAATCCAAGATAATAATATTTTGTAGTGAAAAGATTAGATTTTCATTTCGAATGCAAGAATAACATTCAATGCGGCATTGTTTCATCGTACCTAGGTAGGGTGTATATGTGATTTGTAAATGATCTGAAAACTTAATATTTGGTTCATGTTTTCATCACTGTTATATTATCACATCAATTGATATAAGCCTACACTTTTATGCATGAATATTATGATAGATTTGAGTTGATTAACCATTCCATAGATAAGGTATTTCACAGAGTTATGCAATTAATGAACCTTGCAATCCTCTTTTCAGATAGGAAAAGCTTTTGTAAACAAGTATAATAAAACAGTGATCATCTGTTATGACAGTTTAAAACCCGAACTGATTTGAACTAAAGCACCATTGAAAACCAGGAAGCATTCGACGACTATTCCTTCTGAGTATGAGATCCCTCAATAATACGCATCCAAGACTCCACATTTCGGGATCGAAAACATAACATTCAGTCTCATGCCCGAATGCTTAACTTACTGACCAATGACCTGAGATCCAACAGTCTTAATAGTGACACTCAGTCAATTCTCATGCAATTCTCATCCATTGTTTGGGATAGATAACTGTCTCTCTCGCGACACGAATTAAACTCCACTAGACATAACTTATCAATAGAACTTTAGGAGTTATATCTTCAGGCTAGACATTTCGGGATTTAAACTCAGAAAATTCCAGAATCTTTGTAAATCCCACTATGCATTTCATGTTAGACAGACAATTACAGAACATGGAAAATAATCAATATCAGTTTATTTGAAAATTTCGAATAAAAATGTGCTTTTTCATACTTCTACAGTCTAAGGTTAACTTACAAATTTTACTGATTGGGAAATAGTATGAATCCCAAACTAGGTGATACACATAAGGCGGCTTAGAAATTACTACTTATGATATTCGTTGGGAAGTTATGACTTATAATCATGATCAACGATTAAAAACATTCAATATGATGGCTCGAAATCGGCGATGTCGGTGCATTTACTATTTGTCTAACCCCAGACCCACAGTTACAATATTATTTCGTAATTATTCGTCTTCTTTTATATGACATCATATTGAACCATGGTCTTCATTCCTAATCATTTTTTACTACCACTGATAATATAGATACTTCTATCACTTTGGATATAGGGATACTACCCCTAACTGAGAAATGAAAATTTCGGTATGGCGAAAAATTCATTACTCGATATGAGACAAGGGGTAATAAGAGTGTTTGAGCCCATTTGCATCAAGCTGGGCTGCATCGCTTGCTATCCTATGCCATATTATGTGTATACCATATACTATCCTGTGACACCAGAGGTTCGTTGTGAATATTGTGGATGGCTTGGCATTGCTTTGGCAAGTATTACCAACAGTCCATTTAAAAAATGGGTTAGCAGGGTGACCAATTTCAATGATACTGGTGGTTGTTTTGCAACATTCTTGAGGGCCATCGGGGTGCTATAATGCATATCACCATTGTTAATAATAATGAGTTTGACAGTCATGTAAGCCGGATAGGTCGAACTCGCCTGTTCATGAGGTACATATTGACTGACGCGATGATGGATCGGAAATAATCACTATATATGTACTGGTGTATATAAATGGTGTAAATGGTCTATTTGGGTGTCAGGTACCTGTGTGGTTGCACCACAGGATTGAGCCGAGCTGTTCATGTCGAAATGATAACACGTGAGCAGCCCCCTTGGTTCTCCTGAAAACCAATGTAAAATTACACTTGACAAAAGAGGGCTAATTTATATAACTGTGAATAATAAACTACTTCGGATATATATATATATATATATATATATATATATATATATATATATATATATATATATATATAATTTTTAACAGTTAATAGTCTTTCTAAAACTAAGAGTCCTTAAAACGACTGAAGCTTCAGTTATAAGGATTAATAAACTAAAGAATCGTATTGAAAAGAGTATGTCCAATCAATAATACTGTCACCTTAATAGTAGCCATCAAATCCAATAAGTCATTAATCAATCTAGTCATATAATAAATCAATACAACTAATATACACACATAATCATGTAATGATAAGGGGGGAATGGTTATTTTCAACAACAAAAAAAAAAACAGGTAAAATTTGTTAATGTCATTTAGTGTTTACCCTATTTTCCGTAAATAACTAACTTCTTCAATTGTACGACCAAATATAAATGCATTTGATTCACCAACTTCTTGGAAGATTTCAATATTTGAACCATCCATTGTTCCGATAGTTAATGCACCATTCAACTAAATAATAATTTGAAATGGAAAATAAATCACTAATTAGTTAAGGGAAAAAGAGAACACTGATGATGATGTTAAAGTTTAGATTTGACGCTTACTACTAGAAGCAAAATCATTGAACATAGTTGGCGACTTAAAGGATAAGCATTCAAGCGCCAATTTCGAAGGTTCAAGGTTTGACCTCTTGTGGGACAGTGAACGCAGTTCATGTTAAAGTTGGTTGATAATAGTGATCAGTTTTAGATTACAAAGATTATTCAGTCTGAAACCACCCCAGAAAATAATTTCAATGCCATTATATAATTTGAAATAACAAAGTCGATGTGAATTACGCCAATGAATTAATTTGATTATACACGGAAATTGATATTAATTCTGTTTTGTACTATCGAATTTAAAGTTTACACTGCACGGACACGGACAATATTGAGATGTTAGATATAAAGTAAATGAGCAACTTCATGAATAACTGCATAAGAACTTCATCTACGGGTCAACTTTGTGACGTTACCGAGTAAGGCGAACTCATAACAGTTTCAAGCATATCAACTGACGTGCATATCACAAATGCAAGTGAAGACGACCAGTGTAGCAGCAGCTCTCAACAAACATAAATGGAAAAGAAAGATTTTCCGATACAACACAACATGAGCCAACCAAATCACACCTGATGGAGATACCTTGGAGGATATAAAACTTTTACATATCTGAGCAGCATCATTGATGAGCAAGGTGGATCTGATGCAGACGTAAAGGTGCGGATCCGGAAAGCAAGGGCTACAGTGGAATACACACCTTGAGTTCTATCACTAACCATAAAAAATAAAATTTTCAAAACCACATAAAAAACACCATACAACTTTATAACCAACACATATAGGCGAACAATATTGTTTTCGATTAGATCGTCATCAGGCTGCTTTACTCTAATATACATGAATATTTATGCATGAAAATGTTAAACCAATCAAGGCAATTTGAGTGATAATCACAATGAAATGAAAAAAGATTACGTCACTGCATATTATGGGCAAAAGTACAAGTGGATAGTAGAAAGACAGGTGTGTACTGATAGTAGTAAGAAAATTATAATATATGATAACTAAAGTTTTATCAATACTAGGTCAAACGTGGATGAATAAACTTCAAATAATCATTAAAAAACATCAAAACCAATACGTAATAAGCAACGCCCGTTTGGCTGCATTGAATGTTCTATTAATTGCTCTCATTAATCTGTCCTGCAGAGTATCACAGGCCTTGATTGATTCAACATTTTCATATAAATATCCATGTATATTAGAGTAAAGTCTGATGACGATATAATCGAAAACAATATAGTTCGCTTTTATATGTGTTGTTTTAATTTTCACAATGGGAATCTTTAAAACTTTATAACCGATGTTTTCCATCTTGAACTTACCATAAACTTCATATTCCCGGTTCCTGATGATTCTGTACCAACACATGGAACTTGTTCAGATAAGTCAGTTGCTGGTATGATACGTTCAGCCAAACTAACCCGATAGTTTCGTAAAAATATAAGCTAATAAAAAATACATATACATAGCAAAGAAAGCTTTATAGTACACTTAAAAATTACATATAATAATACTAGCATTACAAATATATGGTGTGAAAAGCATTTTTAAAAATAATTGTCTTAGATTCAGTCATTCAATACTGCTGTCAAAGTAGACAGTTTTGAAATTGTAGCTTAATCAAGTCAGCTGGTACGGGTATGAGGGTGGATTTCACTTCGTGGAAGAGTGTTTCTTGAGGGATCTGAAAAGGAAGGTAGATTAGCGTTGGTCTTGATGACCTGGGAGCGTAACCGCAGAACTCAACGGACAACTGCTTGAGGTCGGCTTTTTTACGAGAGGTTTTTAGAGTATTAGCTCCGCCCTTTTTAAAGCCCTTATTGGACAGCCCTTACCGACGGAGACGGAAATCCGTGAGATAAGGTGAGCTGTGACATTTTTAGGGTCGACCTTTTCTAACCCTTCCTTCCTTGTGAGAATGCAGCATCACTGCAGATGCTGGTTGTCCGAGGGAAACAGCTTACTACTGTCACACCCCTCTTCAGTCAGCAATACGACTTCGCTCTCAGACCTTGAGTAGGTGCTTTTAGTCTTATCGTTCCCCAGTCGACCTGTCTGGCATGGTAGAACCTTCAGAAACATATGTTCCAGTCAATATAGCTCGGTTTGGTCATCACGAAAGATAAGCCCGACCACCACGTCAAGGTAACAGCTATGGTTGGGGTAGTTTAATAAAAATAAATCCTTAATCATAATATTAGTGTTGTTAGTAATGAATATTGATCAACAATAAAAAAATAACTTCAAACTACTACTACAACTCTAAGAAGTAACTAACATAATAATAAAAAAAACTAAGTTATAGGAACATTTCCTATGAAAATAGAAATTGTATTTCCTCTATCATTATCTTTATTTTTTTAAAAATAAAATAGCAACTATCATATATAAAATCTACTCTTTTGACCAGATTCTCTGACTAATCAGTGAGTTAGACATTCCAGTCAAAGTATATTTATTGATAGAAACAGTGTAAGTAAATTCATGAGTAAAGTAAATTAATGTCATAGCAGAATAACATGAGTAAATCTTAATTTCATGATTTTTTGTCAGCTGCTTACAACCTTAAACATAATAGTATTGATCATTAAAGTATATATATACTTTGGCTTATTTTTAAATGAATCATATCAATATGTTTAGATAATAAGCAACTGATGAACAACCGTAAAATAAACTGAATTCATCTTATTCTGTTACGTTAATTATTCTTGTTTTATCAAAACTCATCACATAAAGGTTAGCAGTAAAAAGATTAGTATAAAATTATTAACATTTGGGATTTATGGAGATGGTAGACCTTTTTGTAGTTTAAATGAAGAATTTATTTTGGTTAGACCACTGGGGAAAATCTGGAAGCACTAGACAATAGTTTCATCCGAGTATTGGATACCTCAGCAGTATGTCATTAGTGAGTAAATGATGATTATAAATGCTAGGTGTGAGACAATTATCTATTCCAGACAATGAATGAGAATTGCACGATATCGTGGACTGATTGAAGGTTAGTATTAGAACTTTTGAAATCAACTGAAATCATCAATCAGTGATTGTTAGACCACCATTAGAAACCTGGATCCACTGAAAGACGGTCGTTTCGTCCTGGTATGGGACTTATCAGCATGGGACTTATGGGACTTATCGACAACTGCGCCTCGCAGGATTCGAACCCGGGGCCTTCGGTTTTGCGCTCGAACGCCTAATCTCTGAACCACTGGGCCGGCATCCAAAGGTGTAAATGTCTAACAATGATTGATTGATCATTTTAAATGTGTGAAAACAATAATCTCCATAACTCTAATTGAAAAATATTATAACTGTTAGATCTCGTCTCAGTGGTCTGAAAGTAAAGTGTTAGTGCCCGAGACTGAATGTTCTGGTTTCGATTCCAAAATGTGGAATCGTGAATGTGCACAAATGAGGAGTTACATACTGAGAAGAAATAGTTATCCATTGCTTCTTTGTTTTCAATGCTAATTTATTTAAGATCAGTTCGTGATTTCAAATGTGATGTGAAATTGTTAAGCATGTTAAAAATAGATAGGAAATGTTTATTTTGATTTGTAGTTTCAAATCTATCAAGAATACATTTTTAATGAATATAGATTTTGTATGATAAGTAAGTTAATCAGTTTTTGTCTAGATTTATTTCCTTGAAGGTGGAATTGTGAAGAAATTCACCTATTAGCGATTCACACTATATGGAATTGATGAACTCATGAAATAGGAATGTTGAAATTTATTGACGACTTTTACACAAAACTTTCTCAGTCAGTCAGTCAGTCAGTTGCAACGTAGAACTTCGTACGTAAGTAAATCAGTTCATGTCGCCATACCACATCAGCACAGAGATGTAATTGTCAATTCAAATCCAATAGTAGAAGAGGTAGTAAAGGTATTGGAAGTAATCGGAGAGGTTAGGATTAGAAGATACTATTCAAGAAGTATGATTCAGTGAGAAAAGTTTAGAGAGTCGAAACTAGAGGGGTTGAAGAATCCAGAAGATTAGGATTTGATAGAACACAGAGAATAGATGCACCGGCGCCATTGCAAACGGTTTTGAGCCATGTCATTCAAGGTCTCTAACCATTGATTATTATCATCTCACTGACCCCAACCAGGTAGTCGACAGTTACCGACATGGCTAAGTCCACTCGTCAATGACTTCATGGATTTCTGCCATGTTTTGATTTGGTCGCCCCTAACTTTCTTCCAACCTATTCCTACACTACAAAACAAAGCTCGACGAGGCAGTCGGTGGTCGGGCATACGTAACACATGTCCGAACCACCTCCACTGATGAAGTTTCAATACTTCATCTATTGATCTGCCATTCTTACCTAGCACCCGATTCCTAATAACAGCGTTGCTCACTCGGGTGTCCCACGATATACGAGCAATGCTTCGAAGACACCTATGATCGAAAACTTAGTCTTAAACGAATCAACTAATAAAGATCGTGTAAGCGATGAAGAATTTTCTTTAAAACTGTTTTATAGCTATGACAAAGACTCAAAAATACGTCATGGGTAAATAATCAAATTAACAAAGTTAATTAGTGAGATATCTTTAAAAAAACTGATGAACTCCCGAAAATCATTCAACTTTCACAGATCCAATAAGTTTATTTCTGAAATACTTTAAACTTTTCAATTCTCTATTCATTAGCTGAAAAATTGGATTTAAATACTCACTATTAATTTAAAAATCCGTCAAACTACTATACTATGTTATCGAATTTTTTTGGACACAAATCTACAACAATCCTACTTTTTTCCATAACAGTACTACCGAATCAGTCAATCAATAATCAGTCATTTCTGAAATTGTATGAATTATCCTAATGTTGATATTTTAGACTGAAATTTGATTAGTTTTGGTTAACTTATAGGCATCCTGTTCGGACTGCCTCACTATCACCCCAATGACATGGTGATAGACACTTTCCAATTCGATAACATTGCTGAAATTTGTCTCTAATTTTTAACCTCATTTCTATACTATTGATTCGTCTACCGTCAAACTTTTATTACTAACTATTTACCATTGTACTTAAAAATTACGAGCCATATATTTCTTTCCAAGAACTCTGAACACAGTTAGTTTCATTATAAATATATTTGGGCTTAGTAATTTGATATTCATATTTTACAGGCTTAATACAGGCCAAAATAAAAGTGAATTCTAAGTTGTTTTTTTCAATCTGCTGTCATTTCCCAATCTCAATTAGTCAAAATAAATTACTGTTCACAGCTTAATTGAATAGTAATTTATGAAAAAAAACCAATCAATAGAATTCGGAGAGATAACAGATCATTTGTAAATCTCTTTTCAGTAAGTAAACAAAATTGTCATGTGAACTATTTTTAGGGTACGTTGGATTCCAAGAACCGGTTATATATTTTTAGATTTTTCTTAGAACTATATGAGAAAGCCTGACCAATAAACTAATAATTACTAATGTACTTTGCGCGCTAGACCGAAAGCCCTGCGAACGATCCCTATTGGCGGATTCATGAATGTTCACTGCCGATTAGTTCCATGCTAGAACAAAACGACCGCCTAATACTCTCAGGTTTTCAATACTGGTCTAACATGACTCAGTTCATGATTTCAATGAAATAGATAACACTAACCATATGTTATACATGCTTCTTAAACATTTCATTCGAAATATCCACAGCAGTTCAACACAATTTGTTTCACAGTATTCTTTCTTAATTTTAAACAAATGAAAATATATTTGATTTTGAAACAAAAAAAAAATCACTTAAACATACATACTTTAAGTTTACCCGTTGTAATTGGATCGAAATCAATTATTCTTGCAACTGAATGAATTAATTTAATAATCATTTTAGCCATATGATATCCAGGTGCAGCTTTACCACCAATGATAATTGTTCTAGGACATATTTTCATATTAGGATTTGCTTTTAAACGATTATACATAGTTATAGCAAATAAACACGGTAATAATGGACGTTTATATTCTAGAACACGTTTTACCTAATTTTTAAATAAAGTTAAAAAAAAAATAATTTTGAACAAAAAATTTAATTCAAAACAGTGGTTCCCTTTGATAAATTTGAATAGAGAAATAAGAAGACATATTTTGTGAGATAGTACCTTCAATAGTACCTTCAATGCAGCTAATCTGAGACTTATCACAACAACTCAATCGATCTCAGTTACCTCAATCAAGTCTCCAAGACCGATTCAGTCCGAATCCCACTGTATTTACCAATTCACATGTAACTGCGGAGAAAGTTACTTAGGGAGGACAGATCGCCGGTCGGAAGACAGGATAGGGGAACATATTCCAAAATGGCTAATCAAACCCATGATTCATCAACCTAGCCCATCATTTCAAAATCGATCAAGAAACCCAGCCTCATCCATTGCAAAACATCTAATGATGAGTGGTCATCAAATTGACCCAAAATCAGCCTTTGTAACATGTAATCAAAACCCACACACTGAAACTACTTGAAGCTATCTTGATTGGTCGGAAAAGTCCAACTTTATGTGTTCAAAAACAACTGTATGTTGATCTTTGTTTACCATGGTTCTAGTGAGTGAATGTCATGCTAAATAGGAAATTTACACAAATAACATGTTGCTTGTATGTGACTGACAAGAAAGCACGAAATGGTACTATCTCACAAAATATGTCTTCTTATTTCTCTATTCAAAAAATTTAATACTGCCATTTGAGAAAATACACTTCAAATAAAGAATATTTGATATTATTTATATGGTGAAAGAAATTGTTCTAGTTATTACCTGTAAACGGTGATAAATTATCATAATTTTGTTGTTTGTGCATCATTTTAGAACAAAATCATGAGAAGTAACAATGAAATAATCAGGTGAAGATTTACATCACGAGCTGATATTAGTTAAACAAGCATTGAGAACTTGGAAGCCACATTACAGTCGTTCCATCCTAGTATAGAACTCTTCAGAAGTAAGCATCTACAACTTTGCATGCTGGGATTCAGATTTGTGGTCTCGTGAGCGAACGCTTAGTCTCTGGAAAACTAACCCGGCATCTAATGATAGTCACTATCTAACTTCAACCGATTCAAGATGTTATAGAACCCTCATTCGTTGCCTGTAGTGGACAACTGCCTCACAAGTAACACAAACAAACCCCACTTGTCTTTTTTCACGTAAGAACTCCTGGAATAGATCACTTGTCGTAAGCTTCAAGATGCAACTCCTGAATTTGTGGCGTGGAGCCGTGACTAATGAAGTTCAACCAGGTCAAATGTGAGGTAGTTATTCTCAGCAGACAATGTATGGAGGGCAAGTAACAACATCTTGAACTGGCTGAAGACAGATATGAACATTATTAGATGACAACTCAGTAGTGGACTAGAGGTTAAGCTCTCGCTGGTGAGACCTAAGGTTCTAGTTAAATTTCTGGTGGAGTCATGGATGCTTACTGCTGAGGCTGTCCTAATCAAAAAGAAAGAGCTGTCTAGAGCTTTCCGCTTAAAGAGGTTGTTTAACTAAAATCAGTATATTATATAGATTCTACGATTCAATTGCTGATGTTATAATTAAAGGTTTTATTAAGAAAACAAACTAATAATATAAGATACCAACTTTTCATCAAAAATACATTACAAAGTCCAGAAAAATAATTGATTTTTTTAAAACTACGAAGACAACAGATGGAATAACAAAACCAACTTCATAAGGTCTGCATATCCGTTTTTGTTGTGCTTCATTCCACTAAAAAGTACACAAAGTCTAATTAAATACTTCATTTGAGAAAGCTAAATTTACTGACTCATAAGAAACCTTCTAGAGGGAATGGATGATTATTACTCCTGGACTACTTAGTAGAAATACACATTCATTACAGTTTCTGATAAAATATATCCTTGAAACAAAAAATTCAAATGATATTATCGACTGTATTTAAAGAGAAACACCTGCTTTTGAAATTTTGTATTACTGAAAACCTAGCCAATGGGACAATGTTCAAATAATGCTTTAAGAGAAAGATATTTTCGGGCAGAGTTTTGGAGGTTTGTGTTTTTACACATTTGAAATCATCAATCAATCATTGTTACTAAACCACCATTAGAAACCTGGAAGTACTGAAAGACGGCCGTTTCGTTCGGGTATGGGACTCATCAGCAGTACTCATCCACGACTCCTGCACCGCGCAGGATTCGAACCCGGGACCTTCGGTATTGTGCGCGAACGCCTAACTATCAGACCACTGGGACGACATCCAACGGTGTTAATGTCTAACTCTGATTGGTCACGTTTTCTCAAATAGAACTCCGAGAATTTCCTCACGAAGCTAGTCACTAGTAAGCACTGTTACGATATTTTCGGGTAGAGTTTTGGAGGTTTGTATTTTTACACATTTGAAAGATATTTGCCTTTTTCATAGACGAATAATGGGTTGTCAAAACAAGCATAGGATATTGAATTTACTACATCTATAAATGTGCTAATCAATTTAACTGCTTTATCTCATTAGAAAATGTTCATTAAGCTTTAAATGGTTCATCTCTTGAGTGTTTCATTACATCAAAACTTATTGTCTAACGACTTTATTAAAGCAGAAATAAGAAAATAAGTGTCATGGCATGTCATAGTCTACTTTTGCTCATATTGGGTTCGTTACTTAGTATGCTTGAGGCTATTACGAGTTTACATTAGTCGATAAACGCGAACGAGACAATTACCAGCGTCCAGGTAGGCTACCTTGAATCCCAAACTAAAGTAAGAAGGCTTTGTAAGCATAGAAAGTATATTCTACAAACACCCAGCAATTACAATACAAGCAAGCACACAAATCGCGTTTATTTATACATCACAGAAACGTCCTTGGGACAGTTAAGAAAATAGCACACTAAAATACACAGCAGCCAATCACAGCCATGGATTTTCCTGGTGGGAATTGAAATCACAAGGTCAGCTGATCAGCCCATGCTGGCAAACGTGAAATCGAAAATAAGGCATTTATCAAGCGAGTTCTGGGGATCTAACATCCCCAACAGCTCAACGTATCTATGCCTGTCATTCAGTCAATCAATTATTGCGTCGTCACACACACACACACATCATCATCATCTTCATCATAAGGGCAAATCCCAAAGTAGTAGAAATAGTAAAAGCATTAATGGTAATCGAAAAGATGTAGCATAGAAGATGTGATTCGAGGAATTTCGGGATTGTGGAATAAAAACAGAAAATGATTTAAAAAATTTTAAGATCTAAGGGAAAGCAAACAATATATGCGCCTAAATTGTTACAAACGGTTCTGAGCCATTTCATTCAAAATCTATAACTACGCATGTATTTTAATTTCCTCAAAATAACTGATTTTTTTATATTGAAATCCAATTAGTTCAATTATTCTTGTTAACTTACGTACATGAACATCGAATAGGGAACTTGAATTGATTTGAATATTTCTATGATGTTGCATATAAGCAACAAATCGGTTTTTATTATCTTGTTTAATTAATATTAAACGATTACGAAATTGTTCATCGTCTAATTTTTCTTTCAGTCGATTTAACAAAATAAGATTTTTAACCCATTCATCAGATTGCATTGTACTGCGAATAAGATCAGTTAATCCTGGATTACAAACTAATAACCAACGTCTTGGACTGATACCATTTGTTTTATTAGTAAATTTTGATGGCCATAAATCGGCAAAATCTTTAAATCTGAAAAAAAAGTGAATAGAAATAGCTGATAAGAAGCGAAATAAAATGATCAATATTAGTAACAGTATTTGGTAAGAAAAGAAGGACAGAATTCGTTTCAACAAACACTTTAATATTGAATAGCTTTAATTTAAGTTACGTTTTGAAAGTCCGTTATATGTAAGACTATATTAAGCTCATTAATTATCCCCAGATTATGCTTTTTACTCATGTTACATAGAAGCCTTTACGTTGGGTGGTTGGAAGTAACCAATAGCACATTTCATACCTAGACTTCCAGCTAGTATTAACCTTGTCAGTCAGACCTGCCTGTTTTGTAAAGAGAGCTGATCTTCCCTATAAGATTTGACATCCGGGCCACCCAATTTCAGTCTAGTATGCTGCCACTATTTTACTAGATTGATCTGAGCTACCGAATGACACGGTTTCGAACCTTAAAAACAGGATAAGCTCCATCCAGACGTTTTAAAGCCTTTAAAGATGAGTGCTAGTCGGTATAAAACTCAGGTCTATGGTTTTCTGTCGACTAAATTACTAATACAGGGTGTGTGAAGACAAGTCAATTAGACAAGTGGTCACACTTCGATTCGATAGATAGTATTCGGTCAGCACCTAAATGCTTCTCAACAGTCGGTCAATATAATCATTCCTCTGTGCAAACCTCAATATACTGATCTGCTTTTCTTCTAGAAGCATGCTTTTTTCAATTGGCTCAGCTGTTTACATTTCTTGATACTATAAAATTTGATAACTTTTGCAAGAATAATCAAAATGTACTCATATCGAAACAAACTGTAACTTCGTGATCATTCTTTTCATAGGTTTAAATAGATATCTTAAGCGAAACCCTATTCTTTATCCGTAAGTTAGATCTGAGAATACATGAATGGAAATGTATATTATCTATTGTTGACATTTTTTATACTATTCAAGGTTTCAGACTGGATCTTTATTAGTAAGAGTTAGAATTATACGATTGATGATCATTTTGACTGAAGTTTGATCAATCTTTGTTAACATGTTAAGGCATTTCGCACAAGATGAGTAAATACTAACAAACACTTATCAAAATTTAGTCATTATTAACAACAGGACAATTAAACCCTTTCTCATAGGGGTATGCATTCTCTATCCGTTGGACAAGTGAACGGCTTCTCTGAATTCAGCAGCTCAGTAGATAACGCACAAGGCATTTTAAGCGAAAATTATGGGGTTCGAGTCCTGAACCGAAAATTAATACTAGAACCCAAGTACATCTACCGGACAAGATCTAATGCTTCTCTTGGATCTTAACATAAGATACAATTTGTTTCATATCAGACTCATGTGAAAATCCTTACATCATCCTAAGATATTTTGGTTGCTTTTTCTGTTTTCTTAGAAGCTTAGTGAAACGACCGGATAACAAACTCTTTGTCTTATCTACTTAAAGTGAGCACGTATACATCTACACATTGTTGTCAAAATGAATTATGAAAACTGGTAAAAATTAGATGAACAAATGATGAAATTTCTCAGAGAAAAATAAAAACTGTTGGGGATGTTAGATCCCCAAAATTCGCTTGATAATGCCGTATTTCGGTTTTCACGTTCGCCAGCAGGGGCTGATCAAATGACCTTGAGATTTCAATTCCAACCAGGAAAATCAATGGCTGTGATTGGCTGCTGTGTATTTTAGTATGCTATTTTCTTAACTGTCTCAAGGACGTTGTTATGTTGTATAAATAAACGAGAGTTGTATGCTTGATTGTACTGGATTGCTGGGTGTTTGTAGAATATACTTCTACGCCTACAAAGTCTTCTATTTCGATTCTGGGATTCAAGGTAGCCTTCCTGGAAGCTGGTAAAAGTCTCGTTCGCGTTTATCGACTAAGGTAAACTCGTAATAGCATCAAGCATCCTAAGTGCCGAACATATCAAAAACACAATCTTAAATGAACATAATTTCTTAATCAAAAGAGAATAGAATCAAAAATCACTAGAAGCTACATAAAATATATTAGTGTTTAAAAAATTCAACAACACTAAACCATCATAACAAAGATGTATCTAAAATTTTGACATGTAATCATTTATATTTGAAAATAAAACAAATATTAATTCTTTTTTCTAGGGTAACACAACTTCCATGATCATTATTGATCAGTGTAAATTAAATAGACGAAATATTAAACTATACAGATTACAGAACAATAAGATGTATTAAGCCCTGTAGCTGAAGATAAGTTGATAAATTTGGGAATTTTATCAAAAGTCATTGTAATTACTCTAACATTTTGACAAGAAATCTGGTTCGAACTTTAACACAGGACAACTGTCAGTCGTGTTTTTGAAAACAGTGTACTGAAATCTACGTTTGGAAAAGTAAATACTTACTTTACACTAATTCACTTATATATTTTATCACGTAAATGGTTTTACACAAACTTAACACCACATTCGGTATACACATAAAAAAGCATTCATTTACTAAATTGCTCATCAACCTGTAAGTAAGAATGGAATAAGTCTCACTAATCATTGATTTTCACTTCACAAATTATAGTTTTATTATCCTTTACTGAAAGAGTATATTACTTGTACTGAGTACAGCAGAAAAACTCATTTTAGTTGGTAAGTCAAGAATCCGTTTAAAGATGAATAGGTATCGGATGCGTTGTTGTATCAAATATCAACAGAACAAGATCATTATATGGCTATATATGCGTTTTTAATCATTCTGAGTGTAGAACTGACTAACTGACATTGTTCAATACTCTAAAATTATCTACCTAATCTATACAAAGTTACACTTGACCATCAGACAGACAGACAGATACGACGCAGAACTTCGTACGTAAGTACTTCAGTTCAGGTTGCCATACCACAACATCAGCACACAGACGCAACTGTCAGTTCAAATCCAAGAGTGATAGCAATAACAGAACTATTAGCAGTAATCGAGAAGATTAGGGAGCGAAGATATGATTCGAGAAGTATAATTCAGTGAGATAAATTTAGAAGGAGGAAGGTAGAGATTATGAGGAATGCAGAAGATTAGAAGTTCATAGAACACAAAGAGTGGATGCACCTGCTCCATTGCAAACGATTCTGAGCCATGTCGTTCAAGGTCTCTAACCGTCGGTGACTATCGTCTCGCGGACCCCAATCAGGTAGCCTACATCTACCAAAATGACTCAGTCCACTTGTCAGTGACTTCATGGATTTCTGCCATGTTTTGGTCTGGCCACCCCTAGCTTTCTTCCAATCTACTCCTACACTGCAAAACATAGCTCGTCTATGCAGTCGGTGGTTAGCTATACGTAACACATGTCCCAACCACCTCAACTGATGAAGTTTCACTACTTCATCTATTGATTTGCCATCCTTACCTAGAACTCGTTTCCTAACGACAGCATTGCTTATACGGTTGTCCAATGATACACGAGCAATGCTTAGGAGACATCTATGGTCGAATACTAGTAACCTACGAACATCTACTCTTAACGGCCAAGTCCGTACATCCGTACATCCGTACAGTAGGACGGAGCGAACTGTTGCACAGTAAACTCGTCCTCTAGTCAGCGCACTTGACCATCAATAATTTTGTGAATATGTTCACATTATAAATGATAAATATTTTTCATTATAAACATACAACTGAACTAATAAAATGACTAAGATATTTTCAAACAAAAAAACGGATTATCAATCAAAAACGCAAATAATATTAAAGGCTAAAATCATTTAGTGTGTGGATCCTACATAGTAGTAAGGTGTAAATCTAACTAGAGATTTAGTATTATAAGTGTTTGAAGTTAACATCAACTGTCTATTATGAACATCCTTTTATAATGCAGCCTGAATTACAGAATGAACAGCTTTAATGCAGTAATAATTAGGCTTGTGAAAAATCTCTCATAAAAACTCAATTCTACATGAATGAAAAAAAAGGTGGTCAAACACCCTGGATATAACACACTTATTGAAACATTCAAAATGTCGCGATTAAGTGAACTAGTAAAAAATAATATTCAACATACAAAGTATTTATCAAATGGTTTGTTTGAAAAATTGAAACACCATTGACAAAATGTGATCCAATTATGCATAAATGATCCATACTAACAGCAGGTTCATTGATCTGTTGAAATATTGACATACGTTGGAATCGATTGTCATCACTTGGCCATCTTCTGTAGATGATCTGTGATTATAAAATTACACAGTTTATTAATATATAATTTGTAATATATGCATTCAGGACTGCTTATTTAACGTAATAATAATTAGAAAAATCTGTACAAATAAATTAATGTCATGCATAATGTCAACAAAAGTATATCACCAAATACCGAAGGTCCCGGGTTCAAATCCTGCGAGGTGCAGGAGTGTTGGATGCGCACTGCTGATGCGTCCAACACCAGAACGAAACAGCCGTCCAGTACTTCCAGGTTTCTAATGGTGGTCTAGTAACAATGATTGATTGATGATTTGAAATATGTAAAAACACAAACCTCCAAAACTCTGCCCGAAAATATCACCTTTATTGTTATTGTATGAACTATATACAACATTCTTGTCCAATTCTTTAAAATATCACTGTTATTCAAAGGGGTTGTGTTCTTTAAGAGCTTAAATCCTATTGGTCGTCCTAACTATCAGTGTCACAACATACTTTATTGTTGTTTCCTATTCGACCTAAATGTATAAATATGCATTATTTGTGACATTTGGTGACCCGGAGGTTAGTCCGGGATCTTTATCCTCCTCTGGGCTCGGACCTCATACTTTCTGGATGCTTGTAGAATACAGGTTTTACTTCATATCAAGTCTTCCCAGTGGGGGTTTGGGACGTCCGAATTAGGGTAGCCTGTCTTGTCGCCAGATCATCGATCCTCGCTCTTGTTTACTGACCAAGGTAAACTCGTAATAGTTTAAGCATATCAAAATGACTAGTTTACGTGCATGCGTAACATAATCACAATTAAAAAAACTGACAAATTATGTTGAATATTTGTGAGGTGAAAAAAAATAAACACTCAGACTTGATCATGCACAAATTAGATCATTTTTTTCCTCAAAAGTATCGAATAAAAACAAAACTTACACTTTTAAAATGATTATCAATCTTGCGTATAATTTCCACATGTCTAGGTAGAACACGTTGAAGCATATCTAATGGCCAATATTTTAAACATTCTACTTGTGAAACATGATTTGTATGAGTAAATACACGTGAACATATATCCCATGCCTTTTTAAAGTGAAATAGATGAAAAGAAATCGAGTAAGTAAATGTAATGCAGTATGTACATTCGAAATGCTAATTAACAGCCATAGAATGATAATGTCGTCTAGTGCTTCCAGTTTCTAATGGTGGTCTAACAATGATTGATTCGTGATTTTAATCAATGTAAATAAGTTACATAAATTTATTTTATCTTACGGATTTCCAGCCAGCTGGCTTACACATCAGCGTACATAATTTATATCATAATATCATTCTGAATTCTCCCTTTCTCTGATCCATATTCACTTAGTCGATTTTATTTTTTCTAAGGATTGCGTGACCGCGAAATTACAACATCAATATTTTTAAATAATTCTATTTCTTTGTTTTTATTTATTTGCTCTAAAATACGCTTTCATTTAACTCATAAATATTTACATCATTGAATGCATGAACATCTCTTCCATACTTCTTACTCTTTTGCTAAATCTTCATCGATGAGAATATGTTCGATATTCGTGTATAAAGTCTGCACCCTGATGTGTAATAATAATAATAAATACTACTATGTTTAAACTGTTTAAACAGCTGACCAGAAACCACAAAATCAAAAGAGTTCATATTATTCTGTTCATGTTCATTGTTCATGGCAAAAATTGTATAAAATATTAAAATCATTCGAATGTAGAATGATCATTTATAGCCAGATATTAAGTGGTACACCTATTGTTTTTGTAATAATAATAGAGTGATTTTAGAAAAAAAGATGAAACAAGAGCTAATTTAGGATCTTTATTACATTGTTAGATTCATTCAGCATGAAGATGTAATTGTTGGGGACGTTAGATCCCCAGAACTCACCTGATCAAGGTCCTAATTTTGGATTTTATGTTTTAGCTCAGCTGACCTTGAAATTACATTTCCCACTCGGAAAATACTTGATTGTTATTGGTTGACGTATTATTTTAGTACGCTATTTTTGTGGATCTCCCAATGACGCTTCTATCATGTATAAATAAACTCGATTTGTGTGCTTGTCAACCTCATATTTTCTGGGTACTTGTAGAATATGCATTCAACTTCACATCAAGATTTTTTCATCTACTTAGTGGGACCTTGGGACGCTTGGATTAGAGTAGCCTATTGTGTCACTGGATCATTTGTCTTTGCTCCCGTTTACCGACTAAGGTGAACGCATAATACTTACAATCATATCAACTGACGAGCATAACAGTAATGAACTGTGATGTATTTTCATTTTAGTCATCACTTGAAAGTTATTCATCATTTTGTAAATTCATACATTTTGTTGAGTTATTATTATTATTTTGGTCTAATTCAAGTTTCCTTTAGAAACATCAAATCTTTTGCCTGTATCTTATATGTAATACGTTATATACTCAAAACTGCTAGTTCAACCTTATGATAAATACCTACTACATGCAGTTTATAATACAATTCTTCTAAGTAGGCACAAACTGCGTTTAAAAATAACTACTTTTTAGTTCACATTTCGTCACGGACTTACATTTATGTATATAAACTTCATAATTATGACAGAACGAATGACAGTAAAACGATGAAATGGTAAATAACAACATATATATAAGGATTTCCCAATCATTTCGATATTTCAAGATAACAAACTGTTATGCTCGTCAACTCTAATCCGAGCGTCCCAAGGCCTCACTAAGTAGATGAAGAAGTCTTGATGTGGAGTAGAGAGTGTATTCTACAAGTACCCAGAAAATATGAGGTTGACGATCACATAAATCGAGTTTATTTATACATGATAGAAACGTCCTTGGGAGAGCAACAAAAATAGCGTGCTAAAATAATACATCAACTCATGACAGACAAGGATTTTCCTAGTGGGAAATGTAATCCAAAGGTCACCTGAGCAACTTACGCGCTAAAACATAAAATCCAAAATTAGGACCTTGATCAAGTGAGTTCTGGGGATATAACGCCTCCAACGCAAACTAATGAGAAATTTTTTGTGCTAAATAAATATCTTCTAATGACGGTCAATAAATGATTAAAATATAACGATGTTTTAAAAGTTAGCATTATACAAAGGTATAGTTAAAAGGATTTGAAAATTCAGGAGACAAAGAAATAACAAAATTTAATTTATAAACAAAAGTGAGCGACCTGTCAAACTGTAAGTTCTCTTGCGTATGGCTTAACTCCAGAATAGCGACAAATGTGATATGACGAATTACCAATGAAATGAATACGATAGGAAACTGCACAAATTCTATGTGTAATAAACTACATTAATAATAGCTCCACGTGTTTGAAATACATAAATGGTAAAATGATAGAAAAGATTAGAAGCTGAAGAAGAGCGTTTAGATGATGTTGACTTATATGAGTTTAACAGTTTAAACGAAAATATTTTATCAAGAAAGATGAAAGATAAATAGTGTATTTTAAATACTAAAGTGACATCATGCAGACAACCAGGAAGCACTGAACAGCTATCTTGTCCTGATGTGGGACTCTTTAGTTGCACGTCTCCATGAGCTTCCCAGGAACTGAACCTAAGAGGTGAGCGCTGAAATTTCACATCACCAATCCAGTCTTTCATAGTTTACATGACCAGTTTCAAGAATATTCAGAATAGTCAGAGTAAAAAACCATAAATTGACACATATATTCATAGAAAAATTATCAATATACTTAAATTAAATTAAACCAAATTATCAACATTTCCTTACTTACATCAATCCAATCCATACACTCAATATCAACTAGAATTCTCAATAATTCAGGAATAGCTAAAGCTGGATGTGTATCATTGATATGAATGACTATTTTATTTGGTAATTCAAATAGTTCACAAGTTGGATTTGATGATTTAAATTGACATAGTATATCCTTGTTTGTTTAAATAATAATAATAAAAAATAAAAATAAAAGTAAAGCAAAATAATCATGCTAAAAATTTTATGCTAACACAAATGTAGATAATGCAATTTTTTAAAAAAAAAACGTGTCATGATTTCACAACAGAACAATTTTTATGAAAGATAAAATTATTCAAATTGCTGGTGATATCCTAGTGAGTAGAAAACACAATCCTCCAAAACTGTGCCCCAAAATATCGTAACAGTGCTCACTAGTGACTAGCTTCGTGACGAAATTCTCGGAGTTCTAGTTGAGAAGACGTGACCAATCGAGATCAACCGTGATGGGTGTAGGCAGTAACAGCCAAAGACAAATGGGTAAGGTCGCGCAAAACCTCTGGATCAATCAGAGTTAGACAATAACACCGTTGGATGCCGGCTCAGTGGTCCAGAGGTTAGGCGTTTGCGAACAAAGACCGAAGGTCCTGGGTTCGAATCCTGTGAGGGGCATGAGTCCTGGATGCTCACTGCCACTGATGAGTCCCATACCAGGACGAAACGGCCGTCCAATGCTTCCAAGTGATCTAACAATGATTGATTGATGATTTCAGATGTGTAAAAACACAAACCTCCAAAACTCTGCCCCAGAAATTTGTATTCCTGACGTTTCATGACCTAATGCAAGTCACTTCTTCCCAGTAAATAAATAAATAATCGAAAAAAATTATTACAAATTTAAATGGTAAAAAGGAAACAAAGTAGACGATTTTTTAATAAAATCAACATCATATTAGGTCTGAACCTGATAACATCATGATTCTATGTGAGACATTAAAGTGTGATTTGTGAGTATAAAGGAGAGCAAGAGTAATATGTAATTTATGATATGGAGTTAAAATATAATAATAATACATTTGTGTTTGTGGGTAGAATTGTATAGATAGCGAGTCAAATGTGGTTGTTCGAATGAATATTCAGGCCTTCTTTCTTATTGAGGGCAGGGGGATTCGGCATTAAATGAAATGCTCCAGCTACTCACCTCTCTTTATGGTTGTTAAATCCTTTCTGAACTATTTTGATATTATTGATATCGATTTGGTCGTTATTTTAAATAGTGTGTACTGCTACCGCTGATTTAATTTGCAGATTTTCCAATTCTATGGGACTGTTAGGTCGTTTTGCGTAACGTAAGTGTTCTTTAAAACAAGTTAAGATTTCCTGAGAGAATCGCTCAATATATAATGCATTACAAACGGCATATCCTAGTTTGTAGACATACTTTTGAGTGGATGTAAAAGGGATCTTGTTTTTAATTCTAACTAAACAGTTGTGTAGAGCGTTCGTTATTTTATAGAAAACTTTGATTCTGAGCATTCTCAAAATGTGTCGTAATTCTTAGCGGTAAGATGAAAGTACAGTACCAATCCAAGGATTTTCATTAGAGTTGTTAATTATAGATAGGCAGTTTCGTTTTAATAAGCTTTCGATAATATTCATAGGAAAATTATTGAACCACAAGATTTTTATTATATTATCTTTTTCTTTCAGTTGATCTTTTACCAAAGTAGTGATCTTGGAGGCGCTTCTGAAAAGAATTCATGACTAAGAAACTTTTCGCACTGAATGGATGTGCAGAATTAAAGTCAATGTGCCGATTTGAATGTATTGGTTTCTGGTAAATGACTAGATTTAAATTTCCATTAGAATTCTTTTTAACTAAACAGTTTAAGAAAAGTAGTCTACCACGTTCATCATCATCTTTAAAGGTGAATTTGATGTTTTCAGAGAACATATTCGTCAGTGTAATGAATCTTCAAAGGAAAGTCTTTTTAATAATGACAAATGTACCATCTATAGATGAGTCATATGCGTAGCCTGATGTTACTGGTAAAATCAACAATTCGATATGAGACATAAATAAACCAACAACAATCGGAGATACCGAAGATCACATGGCCACTCAGTTCGTTTGTTTATATAAGGTCATTAGTTTGACAATCATTAAGCTAATAGTATTTACTTTTCATCTTCAAATGATTTATACATAAACTTCTCTGTTGAAAACAATTCACACCATAGACTAAACAGTATCGTCATTACCCCCCCCCCCTTCCAAACAAATCTGAACTTTGTTTGAACCACAGTTGTTTGTGCATTGTGTTCGGTGTTTATATTAAAGTGATGCATTTACTTAATGAATTGGTCACGTTATTGAAATCTTACACTAGTTCATATTATTACTAATTTTTATTACAGGGTTGTGGAGATTGTTAAGTTACACGTTTTTGAAATCATGAATCGATCAATGTTAGACCACCATTAGAAACCTAGAATCACTGGACGGCCGTTCCGTCCTAGCATGGAACTCATCAGCAGTGCGCATCCACGACTCCTGCACCTCGCAGGATTCGACCCCAGGAACTTCAGTCTTGTGAGCGAACGCTTAATCTCCGAACCACTGAGCCGGTATCTGACGGTGTTAATGTCTAACCTCAATCAATTCAAGGGAGTTGCGCAACTTTATACACAGTCTTCGGTAGTTACTGTTTACAGCCGAACTGGTTGAATTTCAGGAGTCACAACTTTCCACTAGAATTCGGAGAAGATTCCTCACAGAGCTAGTCAATAATTTTTAGTTTGGCAGATATTGCATATTTGTAATAATTATTGGTGATAATATTAATTACCACTTTAACCTTTCAATAATAAAACCAATTGTATCAATATATATATATATATATATATATATATATATATATATATATATATAAATCAATAAATATTCCAACTTACTTGCAGTGTAGCCGATACAAGAAAGTATTCTTGTTTCAATTGTAATTCTTTACCTTCAAAAGCACTTTCAATCGGATAGAGAACACGAGAAATATCTTCAGCTTCATTACGACTAAGTATAGCCTAATAAATAAGATATATTTTTTTTAAATGTTAAGTTATTACATTGTATATACTAATTTAATTTATATTAGGTTTTAATATTACAATATTACATACTGTGAAGTACTTTATGAGAATAGAATACACGATAAAATGTTATTCGCTAGTGATTAACATTTGAATCCGGAATGAGCCTGTATTAAGAAATGTGATTTTATGCGTTCTTCAGCACTTTCGTTGTAACAAAACAATTCACTGTTCAATATTTTATTTTCTTGCTATAAAATATGATAGCCAACAAAAACTTCCTTATACTAACGAATAATTCTAAGAGGCCCCATACAGATAATAAAGACAAGAGAAAGATAGAAGTTAAGCGAGTAGTTAAACAACTCATTCTCCGTGAATATATTCACGCATTCATTAATTAAGGTAAAAAGTGAAGAAAATGAAAATGATTTATTCATGATAAGATGATAATTTCAACAGCAAGGAATCGGTTTACAGAAACTGCAGTAGCATATGTTAAAAAAATAACTGACTAGCGTGAAGTGCATTTAGCTTTAAGAAGTGGAAATATTCATAATGGAAACTGTCCTCTTATCCGAAACATAGTTTATTAAATTAGAAATAAAGATTTTTATCATTTACCTAGTAAACTTAAGTCATTTAAGTACTGTATTACATATGCCCCGATGGGCGGTTCCATTGTGTACTGGAATATATTGAAATAGGTTCTGCGAAGCATATGACTCAGAAACTTAAATACTTTAATTAAAAAGTGGTTTGTATATCGGAACTTCCAGGTAAAGTTTTTAAAGACATACGTTCGACGGCTTAGTAAGACGAAAATATTGTAAACTAAGAGACATGTAAGTTATGAAGGCTTCGTTTGATATACACTAACAGATTTTAAAAAATCTCAATGGACACGAACGTTTGTTTACAAACATAGCATTTTACGATTTAATTTTAATATCCTGTACACTCATTAAAATGAAAGGCTTTTTTATGCTTCAGTTGAATCGACGGTTGATATATTAGCTAATTTTTTTCCTTAAGAATATGCTAAAATCGGTGTAAACATTCACTAATCATTGAAATACATCGGAAATACATTTTAACGATTAGTAGTTCATTTGCAAAATGTATTTCATTGTGAAATGAATTACATTTTCAAGGTCGAAATTATCAAAACAACAAGGCTGATATTTGTGGTTCAATAAATCAACTGGAAGCTAAAAGGACATACAGACACAATGAAAATCAGTAACAACATTGTTATGATAAAAGATAAAAAAAATACTAGTCTATTATTAAATAAGCAGACTTTTTAGAAAGAGTGAGTTAACAGCAAAAATATACTAAAAATAGAGAAATGAAACATTTCAAAAACTATCTAGTCAATTATATGAACCAAGATTACTCTACCATTTCTACAGTTGAAAAATATCTGCAACTCCAAACAAATATCAATCAACACCAAAATCAGGATTTTAAATACAAATATCAAAACAGTTCTCTATTGTATGGAGCGGAAACATGAAGAACTACGAAAGCCATCATCCAGAAGATACAAGTGTTTATTAAGAATTGTCTACACAAAATACTTCGGATTCGTTGGCCAGACACCATCAGCAACAACGTACTGGGGGAGAGAACAAACCAGATTCCAGTGGAGGAGGAAATCAGGAAGAAGTGGTGGAAGTGGATAGGACATACACTACGAAAAGCACCTAACTGCGTCACAAGACAAGCCCTCACATGGAACCCTCAAGGCAAAAGGAATAGAGGAAGGCCAAGGAACACACTATGCCGAGAAATAGAGAAAGATATGAGAGGAATGAACAAACATTGGACAGAACTGGAGACGGAAGCCCAGGACAGAGTTGGTTGGAGAAAACTGGTTGGCGGCCTATGCTCCATTGGGGGTAACAGGCGTAAGTAAGTAAGTAAGTAAGATTACTCTGCCACAATAGAGTTATAGCTTTATGCAATAGACCGAATCTAGCTATATAACTGCTCTTGACCAACTCTTTCATTCAAATATTGAGCTCCTCAGCAGTATGCATATAAAATCTCACTACAGTTCAGCTCTGGAATTTATGCGCTTTTTGGCGAAGGGATTATCTTTGGACTAATCAGTTTTATTAAATGGTGTAAAATCTTCCAATTCAGTTAATTCACGACATTGTGTGACCATCATCCATTGCCCATGTTGATGTCTTTCAATTTTGACAATGGTTGAACTCTTGGTTAGAATTTCTTGCTATAGAATTTTAGAAATCTATCTAGAAGTTAGTCACTAGTACGAAATAAAATTCTCAAAATTCATGCAGTGTAAACGAATTGAAAAAAGTTTTCTGACAACTTACATTTACATAATCATTGTTATGAATAATTTTTTTATCAAAGCATTTCCGGCCTTTAGCAGCCCATAATCTAAGTGTATTACACGTATAATTTTGATATCCAGGTATAGGAACTTCATAAGGTAGAGCACATATTGTTTCTGTGTCAATCCATTTACACTGGTCTAAATCATTACGTATAACTCTACCATAAAATTGAACTATACGAGTAAACTCAGGGCGTTCTTTCTCCCAAGGATTACCATACAATAACCATTCATCTGGCTCTTCAACCTATAATTTCAAAAAGAAGTAGGCCCATTGATTAAACTTGTTAGAATATGATGAGATATTTTTAGAGATAGCTTAAGAAATAATTTATTTATTTTTAAAATCCTCACCTGCCATCCATCCTTTATCGTTTGATGAAAAGCACCATTTTCATAACGTATTCCATAGCCATAAGCTGCCAAACCAATTGTAGCCATTGAATCAAGGAAACATGCTGCCAATCGACCTAAACCACCATTGCCAAGTCCTGCATCGCATTCCATTTCTTCCAATTCTTCAATATCTAAACCAAGCTAGAATAAATGAGCAACCATTACTAAAACAAAAAGTCATTGAATTTTCGCGCAGTAGTTATCATTACATTACATTACAAGAGTGCTTGAATTCCATGTGTCATATCATATTGAGATTATTCTCCAGTGAACAAAGCGTAATAGACAATCTTGATTTGGTAACATAAGTTTCACATATGACTATTAAATTTTCTCTCCATTAAATGTCATATCAGGTAGAATGTGAGTGAAAAAATTTATTCTAATGTCAAACTGGTTTGTAGTACTTCACAGAACATTTAACAATCCATAATAGTTGTATTACAACAACAGCATACACTATGTATCAATGTGACAACAGTCATCAACAAGCTAGAGTACATTTACAATCAGATCAACAACGTCTTCGATAACATTAAATTCACGATGGAAAAGGAATCAAACAACAGTCTATCATTCCTGGATGTACTAATCACCCAGAACTAACGCAAGAAAACTGGAAACTCAAGTATTTTGGAAGCCAACCCACACAGACACCTAATTCTCAACTACGATAGCAACAACCCAAGAACCCACAAAATCAACTGCATACAAACTTTGTTCAAGAGAACGAAGACACACTGCAGCACATACGAAGCACTAGAAAACGAGGAAAAACACCTTGTGACTATTTTCCAAAAGAACGGCTATCCACGCAACTTCATCAAAAAACACCAACCGAAATCCTCATCAGAAGCAAAATCAAGCACAGGAACAAATAAACGCATCATCCTACCATACATAAAAGACATATCAGAGCATACAGCACGACTACTGAAACCATTTGGAATAGGTGTGGCACACAAACCAACAGAATCACTTCAGTCAATCCTATGTAGACCAAAGGACAAAATGACAAAGGAAGAAAAACCAAATATCATCTACAAAATAAATTTCTCAAACTGTGAAAAACACTACATAGGACAAAGTGGACGACCACTTCAACTCCGTTTACGTGAACATCAATTAGCAGCCAAACGCCACGACAACGCTTCGCTTATATCAATACACACCGACAATTATGGACACACATTCAATTGGAACAATGTGGAAATACTGGATAGGGGGAAGGACAAAGAACACTAGAGACTTTTTAGAAGCTTGGCACTTAGGTCAATCAGCAATCAACAAACACATTGACGTTGACCCAACTTATCAACCAATCAGAAAAATCATGAGCGACATAGGATCAAGAAACAGATCAAAATGGGGATACAATCAAAATAAAGGTGCAAACAACGACAGGTTTAAGGTCAACAGCAGCCAATCAAGATCGAGGTTATCAGAATAAGCTTCAGGTCAAACATGGAGAAATTCGAATGCTTCACTTCTGCTATTTGAAGTTTGTGCAGACAATGACGTTGTTCAGAAGAACAATGAAAGCTCCACAACCAAAACATCCAGCTCAGAGAACAAAACACCACCACCACAATCATCCACCTGAGCTACAAATCTTCCCCACCATCTCAAAGTCATCAAGATCATAGTAATAATAAAGTCATGTAAGTATAATAGGAGAAATGTTTTCAGGATGACTGTAAATAAAAAAGAATAAAAATGCTTGGAAATAAACAAAGATGAACGCGCAATTAAGAATGGGATAAGGTAGAATTAAACATAAAAATCGATGAGAAGGTATCTTAATCCTGGACACTATGATAAACAAAGTGACTAAATATACCAATTTCGAATACATTGGTTAAGTTTTCTGGAATAGTTAACCCTGATGGCTTCAGCTAGATAGAAAAGGAATGATCTTGCTACTTTCAGTAGATTGTTCGAGACGTAATACAGAGTTGAAGTTGTTTCAGTTTGGCATGGTGATCTACTAGAAGACAAAGAGAGAGAGACAGATATAAAGCAGAACTTCGGTTCAGTTCAGGTTGCCATGCCCCAACAGCACAGAGACGTGACTGTCAGTTCAAATACAAGAGTGATAGCGATAGTAGAATTATTAGCAGCGATGGAGAAGATTAGGGAGCGAAGATATAGTTCGAAAAGTATAATTCAATAAGATAAATTTAGAAGGAGGAAGATAGAGATTATGAGGAATTCAAAAGGTTAGGATTAAAAAGCACACAAAGAGTGGATGCACCTGAGCCATTGCAAACGATTCTGAGCCATGTTGTTCAAGGTCTCTAACCATTTGTGACTTTCGTCTCGCGGACCCCAACCTGGTAGCCTACATCTACCAAAATGACTCAGTCTATTTGTCAGTGACTTCATGGGTTTGTGCCATGCTTTGGTTTGGCCACCCCTAGCTTTCTTCCAACCTACTACTATACCACAAAACTTAGCTAGTCGCGGCAGTCGGTGATTAGGCATTCGTAACACATGTCCCAACCACCTCAAATGATGAAGTTTAACCACTTCATCTATTGATTTGCCATCCCTATCTCGAACTCGTTTCCTAACGACAGCATTGCTCACTCGGTTGTCCCACGGTATACGAGCAATGCTTCGAAGACACCTATGATCGAAAACCAGTAACCTACGAATATCTTCTACTCTCACTGGCCATGTTTCACAGCCATATAGGAGAACGGAGCGAACTGCTGCACAGTACACTCGTCCTTTGGTTAGCGGGCGGATATCTTGCCTGCGCCATAGGTGACTCAGGTTGGCAAAAGCCAATCGAGCCTTCTGTATCCGAGCTGAGATTTCGTCAGTCACCAGGCCATCAGCACTGATGAGACTTCCCAGATACAGATCTACTAGAAGAGAAAAGATGTTATATGAATGGAATTGTTGTTAACTTTTCCAAACCATACTGGCACATATTTACGAGCACCTAATGTTAAGTATTCAACTCTTATTTTAGACACTTAAATATTCATTCAAAAAGTAGACACTAGAACTAACTATTTATGGTATTTTAAATAATACAATTTCTCTATAGATATTAATAAATTTCAGTTTCAGCGTCTGACATTGTTTTTATTTCCGTTGTCAAATAATATCTTAACTTTTCCAGACAGATTATTTTATCTACGGCTATCTAATAGAGTATTTCGCTACTTTTGACCTTAATTAAGAAAAATAAATGTAACTCGAAATTCATCAAAAATAAACTAGTCTTTTTTTTGAAAAACAAAGAATATTCAAACAAACCATTATTGTTTTCAATCGCTGTGAATTTCATTTCACTTCAGGTCAATAATAACAGTGCTGATACTAACAAACTTTAACTTTCCTGTCGTTGATGACTCATTACTACATAAGTGCGTATAGACTTAGTTTTCCTATCCATCTGACAGATTGTTTCATATGAAACAGACTTCAACTGCATCTATGCAGAAATATAATATAAACACGAACTAGTTCAACAGACCTATGTTAAAAATTCGACATAAATGTATTGCATTTTTCCAATAAATAGTTTGTAAGAAATCGATTAACATGAATAGTGAGTGATATTATTATTATTAATTTGTGAAATTGACAAAAAGGACAATTTTGGAACCTAGTAAATAATTGACAACAGTTTCTTTATTATGTGACTAGTTATATCGACGATCATAACCTAACTATTCGTAATTTCGTTTCAGTTAATTTACATTGAAAGCTTAGGCCAGTTAAAGTTTAAGTCTGACTATCAATAAAATTATGAGAACAGATGATCTTGTCAGAATTATGGGCAGTATGGATCATGATTTCAGCAACAACGTACTGTGGGAGAGAACAAACAACATTCCAGTGGAGGAGGAAATCAGGAAGAAGTGGTGGTAGTGGATAGGACACGCACTAAGAAAAGCACCTAACTGCGTCACGACACAAGCCCTCACATGGAACCCTGAGGGCAAAAGAAAAAGAGGAAGGCCAAGGAACACATTACGCCGAGAAATAGAGAAAGACATGACAAGAATGAACAAAAATTGGACAGAACTGGAGAGGGAAGCCCAGGACAGAGTTGGTTGTAGAAAACTAGTGGGCGGCCTATGCTCCATTGGGGGTAACAGGCGAAAGTAAGTAAGTAAGTATGGATCATGATTATTACCTATTAAAGAGAATCTAGATGTAAGATATGACTGTGGCTTGTTTGTGAAGCTTAAAGAGATTAGGAACTAACCTCAAGATGGAGTAGAAATTCATGACTGATGGAGTTCAGTTCATATCGTAAGCGATACGAATGTCACCAGCGACATTAAATCTTTGATTTGCTATTTCACGACATAATTAAAACTGAAAATGTAGGCCACTGGTTTCTAACTTAATAATCTGTAGGCCAAAAGCTAGCCACAATACCCGAGGTTCTTGAATTTGATTTCTCGTGAAGTTAAGAGCGAATGTGAAAATGCTTTCAAGGACTTCTTGATTTTCAATAATATCCCAACTGATGTCAGTCTGTGAAGAATGCTATCTACAAATTTGACTAACCTCCACAAGTCATTTAATTTAAAAACACATTGTCTTTTGTACACTGTATCATAACTATATCGAAACTTTAAGGTGATTTAACATCACGAAAAATGCTAACACAAAATAACAGCTCCGATAAAACTAGCCAATAAGATAAGAAAACATAAGCTCCCAGTTTTTCGTATTTCTAGTCATATGAAATGTGTAGTAAAGGCTTAGAAAGTTATAGTCGAAATTCCACAAACAGATGTTTACTTTACAGGTTAAAATTAAGATTAGTCCAGATGGTCTGTTTATGTAATGTTTAAGGACATTAGTTATTTTGAAATAATCTAGCAAGAAATGCCTTTTCTTTTTTTAAGGACAACCTTATAATGATCATAGACATCCATTTCGATTTGAAATTATTAGTATACATTAATTAAAGCATATGAATAGAGTTCATCTGGAATCTGGATATCAAAATCTCAAAACACGTGAATTCAATAAATCATTATTCTCATATCGATTACTTACTTGATACATTGCTTCATCTAAAGCTTCTGTTGTATCTACATTAAGCATTGTATTCTTTAATGTACGACCCATAAAAAATTCCATAGATAAAAAGTAGACCATCTAAAATATGAAGAAAAAAAAGAATTTGAAAATTTTACAATCTTATCTATATACATAGATTGATGAGTACGAGCAAATACTTAATGCCTATAGTCATTTTCAAACAGATAGGACACACACTACGCAAAGCACCTAACTGCATCACGAGACAAGCCCTCACATGGAACCCTCAAGGTAAAAGGAAAAGAAGAAGGCCAAGGAACACATTACGTCGAGAAATAGAGAAAGATATGAGAGGACTGAACAAACATTGGACAGAACTGGAGAGGGAAGCCCAGGACAGAGTTGGTTGGAGAAAACTGGTGTGCGGCCTATGCTCCACTGGGGGTAACAGGCGTAAGTAAGTAAGTAAGTAAATATTCTTTCTTGTCATAACTACTGTCTAGACATAATATTTGTCTATTTCTTAAGTATAAAATGCTGTAATGATCTTACCAATAAATTCTATAAGATAAATAATATTATGACAGTTCAATTTTGAATGCTTTATTTTCACTTAATATATAGTCAAAAGAATTCCTTTCCTATACAACGCATTCAAAACCAACTCCTAATTCCAATTATCAGTTTTTCTGTAATCTCATGTTTATGTTATTTCTGATTGTAGTTGATGGCTTTTTCTATTAAAAGTACATTTTATGTGCTTATTGAGTCATCGGTTCACTTTTTTCTCGTATTCTTTCCTCATTCAGATAATCTAACATATTGTACTTCACACTCCTCCAGCTTACAGAATACCTTCAGGCTAAACACGAACTTACAAAAGGCTGAAGTTAGACTTCGTCAAATTAAAATAATCGATAGAAGCATGATGCGCTGATAGCCTTGAGTGAACCAATCAGAACTAAAATGGCCTCTCAAATATTTTGCGCGTAGTCCAATGGGCGACTAGATAATTTCTTTCCTTCATAACTCTTATTCTAAGTCTCTTAAGTTTGTAAACTGTAGAATGACAAAAAAACTGCATCATAACTTATGTCAGTTCGTTATGAAAACCCTAACCCTAAGGTGAAAATGAGTCAAAAGCCAATAAAATTCATTTTGTTTATTAGTTATTTAGTAGGCACATACAAACCGTTATGAAACTTGAATATCAGAGTGAAAACGTCAGTCTTCTGAGTACAGAGAAGTGCGATAAAGCCTGTAACAGCTATTTAAGCCGTCAATATCTAGTCAAAAATTTGCACCTTGAGCTTTTGGATCTAAAAAATAGCCAAACAAGGTAATGGTTTCCATGTTACAACATTAGCCTCAATAGAGTAGTAAGTGTTAATTTCCTTCTAGCCTTCTTTAAATAATGTTTCAAAATTCTACCTTAAAAGTTGAGTCATTGCATTGATATGTAGTAGTGAAAGGAAAATTTGATAAGTCATCGAGTATGGCTCACTGAACGTGACTGCTTATAGTTGTGTGAAGCAGCGTCTATCGTTCACTCTGATTTTGGCCTTGGTCGTGAATCAGGTATCAGATACAACGTGACCTAGTCTCTCTGTAGAGTACCATTCGAGTACCCAACCCATCAGTAGTATGAACTCACCCAAACTAGTCTCACTATATTTTGTTATCGTATTTATCGCAGTAAAACCGTGGCTAAGATATATCCTCAACGCCACCGTCACATAAGGCAAATGTTCCAAGTGTTTAAGGGAGAGAAATAACTGAATGCTGTTCAGAAGTGTTGTCTGACCACGGGAACTATACTTACATCTCATTATGGGTTTACAACAGCGTAGAATCAAGAAAACCCTTGTAAAGTATTTTCTTAGTAAACCACACTGAACACAACAAACTTGGCATAAGACTAAAGTGTTATTTTTCCAACGACAAGTTCCACTTTGGTAAAAGAATAGTAGTTTCTGTGTTAACTTGAGAAACGTGATGTAATACTAAGTCGTAATCAGAAAATATTCTACTTTTATTATAGCAATATGATAATTATATTTTCATAGAATATTGGGTAGTTATTACAATAGGCAATTCTAAGCACGAAGTATTTTAACAGGCTGTTTTGAATATCATTACGTGTCACAAAGATTTTTAAGTATATATACATGCTTATGTACGAAAATAAGTCAATCACAAAGTATTTGTGTGAGATACAGTATAATGCAGTTTTGCGATCTTCTCTACGTGCATTGATCCTAATGTATTTGCGTCTTCTTCTTCCCGAACGTTTACAACGAGCAATATGAAAATGAAGTAAATGGACTGTATCTGATTAATTATACTTGCCAGTCTTCAAGATTACCATTACCTATCCACAACCATATTCACGGTGACATCAAAATACACATCATATATCCTACTAACTACCTTCAGCATTCTGCTATATAGCAAAATATTTTCCTAAAACCCAATGGAAGAATAATGAGCCACAGTAAAAAGTAACAAATAATGTGCAAGAATTTATAAACCATAAACATGTAGCTTCTTTATGTTATAAGTCATACAATAAGCTTTCTTTGATATTGCTAAAACATAAGAAGACTAAGAATGGTGAGAAAGACGAGCATTCAGATAAATGAAATTTGTTATTATGAATAAGCCATTGCTCAATAGGCACTGATAACTCATTCACTAAAAGGGAACATGAAGAGGAATAAGCTGGCATATATTGAGTTAGATTATTCACACACTTGACAAGTGTTTTTGCAGATAATTAATCATGCAAGGAAATGGTCAAAGGAATAGGAGGAGGACATCTAGTTGTGACAGTCAAAACTTAGTAAGTAAAATTGCCTTCATAAGAAACATACTATTCTCTTTCAGAAAAATGTGAACATAGCCAATTAGTGATCTAGCTCTTGGTGTTAACACTAGCAGACCTACTTAATAATAATAGTTTTAGAGTAAAAATCAAAGGCAGGGGTGTGATCTAGAAATGAGTACCTAACATACTTCCCACTCATTTCTGAACTAAACACTATGATAAGATGTAGGAAAACTATAGCATCCCAAGACACCTTTTTCACTTTTATCGACAAAGTGAATGTATCAGTACAGTTCTTCAGTGCGGACTGAACTGATAGTAGCAATAGTTTTTCTAGTTTAGAGAAAAGTTAGTTCTATGGGACTAAACATTTAAATCTTAGCATCAAACTCGTTATTAGGTGTTCGGATAACCTCTTTCTTCGTCTACATTTTCGTTAAAATTGACATAGCAAAGATGTTCGTTAATACGTGATACAAATCATCAGTAAATTTCGTAAAAAGGTTTGAAATGTCGTTAGTTCTTAAACACTATGACCAGTTAAGGAACTTTATACATTGATAATTCACAATTTTGCAATTTTACATTAGCGAATGCTTTCTTAGTCACATTTTCAAGAAAAAATATTAAGCATTCATTTCTACGCATAGTCCCTCATTACTACATAATTCTCGTTATGACGAAAGTGATGATGCATTCAGTCAATTAACATTATAGGAGAGCTAATCGATTTTTCGATTATTATTTTGATACAGACGTCTTCTTATATTAATGATGTGTGGGCTATAACAAAACTGTGATTCGCTTGTGGAAATTGTTCATTTTGTAGTTTATGCCGCAGGTTAAATTTACCTAGCTAACTTTAGAGAGCTAGATTTCACTAAACAATTATTTCTTACTGGTACAAAGCTGTTAAGTAATAAATTATTCACTTTGGAAATCAGTGAACTTTCATATCTTGTGACATATTCCACTACTTTAATAAACACAAAAAGCTCAATGGCGATTCATTCCAACATAACCAGTAAACAAAAATTGTAACTGTATGAAAAATCTGTCTTCATAAATCGAAAGTGCGAATCAAACGGCGGTATTACCATAGCAGTAAATATGATTAATATACAGCTTACTGTTAACTGAATAGTTAAATAAGAATGGTAGATCAATAGATGAAGTATTGAAACTTCATCAATTGAGGTGGTTGGGATATGTGTTACATATGCCCAACTATCGACCGCCTCGAAGAACTACGTTTTGTGGTGTAGGAGTAGTTTGGAACAAAGCTAGGGATGGCCAAACCAAAATACGGCAAAAATCCATGAAGTCGCCGACATCTGGACTGAGTCATGTTAGCAGGTGTAAACTACCTAGTTGGGCTCCACGAGATGATATAACTGATGATTAGAGACCTTGAATGAGATGGCTCGAAATCGTTTGCGATGGGGCAGGTGCATCCATTATTTGTATTCTTTCAAATTCTAGTTTTATTAATTCCTCTTCGCCTTTATTTTTCTTCTTTCAAGTTCACTTCACTGGATTATACATCTTGAATAATATCTTCGAACCTTAATCTCTCCAACTACTGCTCATACTTCTACTACTATGGGATTTGAACTGGTAGTTGCGGCTCTGTACTAATGTGGTATGAAAACTTGAACTGATGTACGTACGTATAAAGTTCAACGTTGTAGCTGACTGAATATTTATCTAACGAACATTGATGATATATTTTCGGGAAATATCTCATCTCAGGTACTTTTAGTTAAAAATGATTCTACTTACCGCCTAACTTTCAGAAAGTAACTTGTACATGTTTAGTAAAATCCTTAGAATTGCACGTTTATAAATCCGAAAATATTACTAAGTTGTTGAAAAGACTTTCAACTCTTCACTTGTTTTACTTTTGCTATTATGAACTGGAAAAATTACTCATAAAACTAATTCTGACTATTGAAGACACTAATGTATGAAAGGAATTCACAAAAAGAAACTTTCTGTTACATTTGTTAATTCATGACCTGATATACAAGTTTTGAATTTCAATCTCAGTTACAAAAAGGATCAATGTACATTAGTAAGCAGCATTTGGTCATCTGTTTCAATGGTTTATTTATTAATATTAACTACTGATTTTAGTCCTTCATTCTCAACTTAATGCCATCTTGTTTCGATGAGTTTAATTTTGTGAAATCATTTAAAATACTTTTCACATGTTAAGAACGAAAAAAAAATTTAATTATTCACTTTTCCAGTTCTAGTGGCAGATTTTTTTCATACTTTGTTGGGAAAAGATAAAAAATGATCCTAGGTTTATGTGTTTACTATTCAAAACTATATAAAATTCAACATGATAAATAAGGCTATCCGTAATTAAAACTAAAAAGTACTTATAAATAAAGGCTTTCGATTCTAATTAGATTGACACAGTTGTACAATCAGTCAATCAATCAATTCACTTGTTGAATTCAAGTTATCAATTTCTAAATATGGACAAATAAATTAACAAAATATGCCTTGTGTCAATATTGAATAAAATGTTGACCTTAGTATAATTATTCCATTTTCACAAAACTCAACTAATACAAATCATGTATAGTAGTTATTTACATCATACCCGTTTTCAGCATTTATTTCACATAATACACACTGTAACTAAACTAACACATCAATATCAACTTCCTGTTTTAGTTGTAATTCAGTGATTCGATGAAGATGATCATGATGTTCTTTAAATGATGATGAGAAACTTTGGTTTGTGTAAAATAGATACCTATAAATCTATCAATACCGAAATGTGGATATTAGTCATAATGTATGTAGAGAGCCAAACTGTACTTCTTTTATAGTAAACGCAAGAAATAGTTAATAGCCTTATCAATGAAAACCATTCAATACGTACAATATAAAATGAAAATATTTTTTTTCTTAGATTAAACCTAAATATATTTCAATAGATGCGTATTTCCTTAACTGGTAGTTTTCCAACATTATCAATGGGACACATCACTAGTCTGTGTAGATCGCTTAGATAATAAGAAAATAACAATTACAGATATTTTTGTATGTATGTAAACATATCTAAGTAAATATAAGTGAATGTTAGCAGTGAAATAAAAGTTAGTCGTCGTTAGCGTGTAAGCCAAGAAAAATATGCATTGGTTCAAGCTTAAGAGAACAAAAAATTGACTTGAGAAACAGAGAAAATAAAATCCATTGTAGTAAAAAGACAGACATAAAACTTCAGTGTAAAGTGAATGAATAAAATTATATAATGAAATTCCTAATGTCGTTAAACTTATGATCTTTAAGACGAAAAAGGAATACAGATGTTAATATCTTCTTGTGAATTCAGAAAGTTCACCTGTCTTTGAACAACTTAAGCCACCTACGATGCTAGTGCAATATATGTCTATCAACCGGAAGACTGGTATAATGAACTCAAGGCCACTTCGTATTATTTTATGATTGTAAAACATGGGCTGTGAAAGTAGAAGACAAGTGTAAGATAAAGGTTTTCGAATCACTCATTCCAAATAATTTAGAAGATGGAAAGAGAAAATCGATTGGTGAGGTTATGAATATTCATAGACAAATGGTTGTAACATGCTTTATGTATGACCAACCACTGGCCAGAAAGGACAGTGATAGCTTACATGCTAGTAGCTTAGAAAAAGTAAGAGGTGATCTCACCAAAACATGCCATTTGTATATGAGTTCATTACCTATTGATCGGAGTGGCTTTGAAAAATGCAAACCACCTAGTTGTAGTCCTCACGGTCTGCACTATCCGTTGTTGAAGGCGTTACGTGACAAGATTGTCAAACCCAACCGTAGCTGCAAACTTGATGTAGTCTTTGACTGTGTCGATAGTGATGACCCAACAGAGTTATATTGGCTGGAGCAGGTGGATTGGAGAACAGTAAAACTAAAAGTGGCAACTCAAGATCTGGGGGCAAAGTCGTACTGTTGACTTTAGAGAGGTGTTACAGCAGTAAGGTGTTTTCCTCCGACAATCAGCATCCGCAACGATGCTGCCTTCTCACAACAGGAGGACGAGGTTGGAAACGGTCGACTCTGGAAGTTTCATACCTCACTATAAGGTCCAGATTTTTGTCTCCAGTGTTAAGGCCTTTCGGAGATCAGAATGAACACAAAAACTTGACATGGTAAGGTTGTGAGTGACTGTTCTGAAGCTGTTGTCCGTCGGGCTCTATGGTCACGCTCTGAAGTCGCTAAGACCAACGCCAATCTGACTTTCTTTCCAAGTTCTTCAAGCAGAAATATCCTTACATGGTGTCGGCGATCGGAAAGTGACATCCGCCCTCATACTCCTTACAGCAAACGGGGTACTGCTGAGTTACGTTTATTGACACAATAAAAAGGGGTTTTGCGAAAAAAATAGTCATTGCGGCTTTGTAGTTTGTAAAGTAGGAAACATCTGAATATGAGATACTAGTTATAAATACATTCAGTACGAACCGTATCTCAAGATTTGGAATCAAGTGACGAACATTGACTGCCTACTATATCTTTCTGTTCGCAGAACAGAGAAATCCTACACGACTATAAAGATTGATTCTTAGAAATAACATTATATGAAATCACTGAAAACTACAATTAAAAACACAGACTACAAAATCCTACTCACGCCTATTTACTTATAAATTTCAAAGCCTTGCCTAATATTCTTAATGAAAAATATGCTGAGTTTATATAGAAGCTATAACTCTAAGCACTAGATAGCAATGATTGCCGAATCGTTACTAAAGAGGCGAGCATGATATATTCACCGAAATTTCGGCTGCCATCAAAGAAGCAGGCCAGCTGAAAACCGTTATGAGGTTTCTCCCCAAACTTTTCCCGATCTCTGAGAGAAACGGCGAATTTGTGAACAGTTTTCGAGAAGACACTAAATTTTCGACAAATTTGGGAGATTTGGGTTGCATATTCAGACGGTTATGTTTAGGCAGCTCAAAGGTTCGGGAAAATGAACAATCGTAAGGATGTATAATCTCACCTTAGGGTCCTCAGTAGCATATACCTCCCGTGTTTTTATCCAACGAGTACATAATTGTTCCCAGACCGTCTTAGCCAGGGCTACGTAAAAATCACGCATTGTAGCAATGTTGCGATCTTTAACGACATAAAAATGGAGGTTTCTGTTGAATGAATCCCTGAGATCCTTTGCATCTTGAACGACACTTATTTTTTGAAAAGTAGAAGACCGTCTGATGTTCATCTAAGTGGCGAAAACCAGTTTCAAAACTGA